CTGTGATATATTACTGAACAGACGCACCGCAAGGTGGAATCTATTTGTTTTATGTAATAACTGAAAAAACAAAAACAAAATGCTTACGTCGTCATCTATGCGTCTGTCCTCCAATAGACCATAAGTAAGAACCAATCAAACTGCGAGAACAAATATCCATGCAATTTCGTGTTTTATTCTCAGGGTGCCCCAGGTCAAGACGGCGCACCAGGAGAACGCGGAGCAAGAGGAGACAAGGTGTGAATGTCTATCGTAATACAATAGTCCCAGGGGTACCCACTTATATGGGGCTCTATAGGTATGAGCAGCCCCTAAGGGTATGGCTTTGAGCGGTTTTGGTCTGAAATTGGGCATCGATTTTGGCCATTTTGGTCTGAAATAAGGTAGGATTTGTGTGTAAAATGGGGTTAACCGTTTTCTTTTGATTTTTGGTCTCTTAACCTTTCTCCTACCTAATAAAAGCATACATACATTGCCTTTATTAATCGGATATTTTGTTACCAGGGGAATCGTGGCAACAGAGGCCAGCAGGGTAAGACGGGTTCCCCAGGCAGAGAGGTATGTTTATGTTAACAAGTTTACACAACTGAAATAACCATTATGTACCCTTGGCCAGTGGGTATACAACATGTCCTAGCTTTAAAAGTGTCTTCTCATTATAAACCATCTAGCTTGTAATATAACGCGGGTTCCGTGTGGGACCGCTAACGCTTAGCCACAGCAGATGTCGATCCCCAAACCCTTTAACAAGTGTAATTCCTTGATCCCTCGAGATCGATAGATACTGATAATGAAATCTTTTTCCAAGTATATTTCTATTAGTATTATTCGTTATGCATCTAGTAGTTTGTCCATCTTCATTTCTAACCTCATGTCTTATTATCTCAGGGTGTATGGATGCAATTCGTTGTCTTCCATGTACCTTGTGTCTTGTTATGTATGTGTCGATTGTTCATAAGAAGTGGACACATTATCACACCTTTGAAACTATGTTGAGCTCCTTTACTCGGTTGAAATGTCACTGAACATGAACCTTACGTTATCACACGCTGTTGCAATACCGTGCTCTACCAGCCGAGCCATATTTGCTATTATGTCTCTTGAACACTCTCTTCAGTCGACGTTTTCTTTAGCTGTGCCTTTGTAGCATTAGCTGATCAACATTTTATCAAGCTGCTATAGCAGAGAGGCCTCTGACTGTCTAGCTGATTGATAGTTTTCAAAATGAAATCCAAGTTTTATTCTGCTACA